GAAGTAAGGGCAGTCTGATGGGGAACTGTGTCCTCAAGACTGCAGAGTTCGCACTAACGGCAGCTGGTTAGTGTCAGAACTGCACTACAGAAATGTAGTGGTCCAGGTCCATCCTGTCTTAGGCCCTGGGTAACATGTGTGGTAGTCTGCATCTTCCAGGGCTTTTGCCTTCTTTACCCATCGACTCCCTCCTCTTACCCTACTCCCGTAAATCCAATTTTCTCTGAATTCAGGACATTTGAGACCCAAACGCAGGCATGTAAGACAGCCCAAGAAGCAAACATATTCCATCTCTACAGACTGTAGAATTTAAAAGAAAAAAATTTAAAACCACAGGCCTGTGTGACCACAGGCAAATTACTAAACCTCTCTGAGCCTTGGTCCCCACCTCTGTAAGATGAGACTAATAACCCCTCCATCACAGAGCTGATGGGACAACTCAATGATGTAATATATTTGCAGAGCCTAACACAGGCTCTCACATATGGCAGGTACTCAGTAAACATCCACCTCCTTCCTTGCTATCTTCACATAGCCCCATACTCCCAACTCTTCTTGCCTCTCTGCTCACCCCAGCTAACTGTTCTGGGTGCTGGGCCCACTGGCACCATGCTGATGTTTTAGATCCCAAGACAGTAGGAAGCCAACCATTACACATACCCAAACTAAAAAGCAAGTAACCATGACCTTGAACAGAAAGGACATTTATATTTACTTCAGTGGCTATAAAAGACACCATAAAATAGACTATGCAGCACACATCCTCACGATTAATAATCAGATATTGCAAATTATACTCTCCGGTCCCTGGGTGCATCCAACTGGTCACTAAGAACAATTAATTCTTTTGGGAAATAAAAGGATTGTGAATTGTCGCTGATCACTGAAAAATCTGCTTGCTGTACTATGAATAAAGAGTACAGAAAATTAGGCTCAAATTCAGGATTTTTTCTGCCCTTGTGAATTGGGTGAAGTAAGATCGGAGAGGCTCAAACACAATTATTGTCCCTGAGAGCAGACAGTAGGACCTGCCAACGACAAAGACATGGGAATTAGAGCAGGAGTTTAGGGATGTCCAAGAAACAGAAGCAGACAACCAGGCTGGGAGGAGAGGCAGCGCTGGCAGCAAGCAATGGGGTAGAAACACAGAAGTTTCCAAGTGAAAACCTAGCCACAGTGACGGAGGTTTCAGCAAGAGGACTAAGGTCTCCAGAAGGACTGCGGGGAGACAAGTAGAATTCCAGGCCTAAAACTGGGGCCACTGAATAAGAACCAAAGGGATAAGTCAGGAAACAGTAGAACAAGGTTGGTGCTCAAGTCACAGAAAACCAAGGTGCAAGGTTTCAGCTGAGCCTCTGAGTTCCTGGCCCTGGGCTTCTTAACTCCTCCAACCAGAGTCTCAGAGTCTTGGAAGGTGAGAGAAACCCCCAAGAAGCAGGAAGTAGCCCCACAGTTGAAGTGGCCCCACCGGTTGGAAGGATTATAGGAGCAAGAAGCCAGGCAGAAGATCACACCAATATTCAATTCAGGTCCACTCTGACCTAATGGGCATTGTGGGCGAACTCCCAACCTAGAATATAAATCCCACCAAACAGCCCCGGGCCTTCTGTTCCCTAGATCTCCCTGGGAAACCCTGAGGAAGCGGCAACCAAGAGGAACCAGAAGCCCTTGGCGAGGACCATGAGCACACTCTGGAAGGGCATGTGCCTGGGGTCAAGTGAGTTATGATGGACAAACCCTGCAACCTTGAAGGAGTTTTTATTGAAACAGTACAGAAAACACCAAAGGTCACTGACAGCAGTGAGCTCATGGCTGCAATGGAGTCGGCCCCAGATGCCAAACCACCTCGCTGAGGTGTGACTTCCTTTGGAGGGTGACATGGCTAGGAAAGGGAAGCTGTTCTCTGTCAAGTTCAGAGACCATGTTCACCTCCAACAAAATCAAACTCCCTACAAGTTCAGTGTGCCCCCAGTGGCACCCGTGGCACGTCTTGGCAATGGGAAGGGTTAATGGAAGTAGTGGGGACATCCAACCCAATGGCACATACCAGGAGTGGGAATGTAGGCTGCTGAGTCTTCTTGGAGAAGAAGAGAGAGCTATGCCACAGTTCAGCCTGTGGGCCCTGAGATAAGGGCCACAGTATGCAGAGAGGATTCCAAAAGAGGAGAAGGATGGTGACATGGACAGTGACTCTGGGGCTGCAGGCCACCATGTGGCAAAAATGGAGCAGCTGGGTGGAGGCAGGATGAGGGGCTGAGGAGTGGAAAGACACCAGAATGGGGCAGGGAGAGCAATTCCAATCAGAGTGGAGCAGGGAACAGCCAGCATATTAGGGCCAAGACCCGGTCAGCCAGCTTCAACCCCTTCACACGCAGGATGAGCTCATGGAGGTTGATCTGCCATAAGTTGAAGGCCTCTCTGAAAGAGATCTGGGTTCTTCTGAAGAATGAACAGGTGTTCTTCTTCTTGTGCCTGGAAGAAGGGAAAGAAGAAGGAGAAAAGAAATAAAGAGGCAAGAAACACCAGCTCTGTATCATTTGGAAAAACTAAAGATGGTGGCTTTGGCCAACTCACCAGCTCCCTGCCCCTACGGACCTCTCTTGGATACAGGATCATACTATACCACTACCCAATCAGGAGCCAGAGGAACTCAAATATTTCAAAGGAGTTTTTCAAATAAGTGGGATAAATAAAAGCAGTTGTTTCACAGGGCATCAAAGGTCTAATAAACCCATTGGTAGATCATTCCAATGTTTCTTTCTCCAAAAGCATGGTAAATATATGCCAACCAAGAATCCCCCAAACTCAAAAATAGTCAAAGCCTTTCCAAACTTTCTAAGGATAAGAATCACTTGGAAACCTGGTCAGGTGGTCCTGGGAGGCTAAGGCCATTATGAATTCAGCCCAGCTCAATCCCTTCTGCACCCACAAAAGGACATGATGAAAACTGGTGTTTATGATGATGACCTATTCAAGACTTCATTTCCTGAACCCTCAGAGGAAGAATACATCAAAGTTGGCCCTTTCAGTGTGCAGTATATTATGCTGTAAACTAATCCAATATTTGATAGTGGGCACATGATATAGGTTCCCAGAATGGTCCATTCCTAGCATGGAAGGGCTGGGAATTGAGCATCATCTAAGCTTCCTCTCTTGAGTGAGAACAATCAGCCAGAGTGTGGCCCTTCCAACGTATTCGTCACACTCAGTAATAGAGCCTGAAACCCTCTTTCCTCTGGAACCAGCTCCCTGAGGAAGCACACTTCTCTTCCTCATGAATGCCCAAAGGTGCTGAGGCATCTAAAAAGATCTGAAGCCAGATATGGTGGCTCACGCCTGTAATCCCAGGACTTTGGGAGGTCAAGGCAGGTGGATCACTTGAGGTCAGGAGTTCGAAACCAGCCTGGCCAACATGGTAAAACCCCGTCTCTACTAAAATATAAAAATTAGCTGGGCGTGGTGGTAGGAGCCTGTAATTCTAACTACTCGGGAGACTGAGGCAGGAGAATCGCTTGAACTCAGGAGATGAAGGTTGCAGTGAGCCGATATCACACCACTCTACTCCAGCCTGGGGGACAGAGTCAGACTCTGTCTCAAAAAAGAAAATAAATAAATTAAATAAATAAATAGATCTGAGATCAAGAGAACCTGAGTCTCACTCTCACCTACAGGACAAAGAGCACTGGCCTGGCTGACAAGTTCCAGGACCAATTAATGGAGAGATACACACCAGGGCTTCCTGTCCTCAAACTTGGGATACTTGGATGGGGCTGAGACTCTCAGAAAACATTTCAAACTTTAACTTTTCCTGCAGGGAGATCTGGAGATTTGGAAGCTCAGGCAGGGCCCTGTAGACTGGTGGGGAAAGGTGGCAGCAAAAGCAGGACCCCTGGGGCAGGCCAGGGGGCTAGGAGGGGAGGAGAGGGAGGAGCCCACACTCACTCGGCTAGTGCTCTGATGCAGCAACGTGACATGTTGAGAAAGGAGCTGGCGCTGGCACGGGTGCCCAGGGCGGCCTCGATGCCACGCAGCAGGTCATTGGTCTTTAAGATGAGCAGCATCTGGCGCGGCACGTGGTTGAGGAGCTGGCTGATCTGGGGGAGGTAGTTGGCCGCGTTGTTGCGAATCTCTAAGTCCTGAGGCAGCAATGGGGAGACGGAAACAGATGGTTGGTATGGGTAGTGGGGCCAGGGGTGGCAGGGGTCTGGCAGGCTGGGACCAGAGGGCTGCAAAGAAGTCCCAGGAGGGAGCTTCAGGCACCACTGTCTTGGCACTGCTAGGAGCACTCCCAATAGACAAGTCTAGCACAAGGCGCTGTATAGCCTGACAAACCTGGAAGGGGATGTCTCAGCCAAACTTCTAGGAAAGTGCTGGATGTGACACAGGATACACTGAGAGAGACCAGGTTATTCTCCAAGGCTTTTTCACTGGCCACCAATTTTAGATCAGGTCTTGAAGGACCCCCAGAAGCCAGTACCAGCTGAGTCTGGTTTCCTACCCCTCCAAGCCTAGCTCAGGCTGACCTGACTTCAACCCAACTCCAAAGTCCTGCCCCATAGCCTGCACCCCGCCAGACCATGCTGCTGCTCACACTCCATTGCTTACCACTGTCCTCGCATGGGAGCCAGTCTCATCCCACCTGTGGCCCAAGGTCTGATGCCCTGGCTTAGGATCCAGGATTAGCCCTTCATGCTGGTCATCGCCACAGCCCTTGACCCATCTGGTCTTTAAGTTTGGGGTCTGGCCTCCCCACGATCCCTGTCCCTACACTCTTCACAGCTCTAGGCAGATAACTGCCCCCAGCCAAATCCTAAATATAAGTGTGGTTCTGACCCCTTTTCAGTCTCCATAGATATGATGATGATGACGATAAGTACCATATATTGAGCATTTACTAAAGAAGCCAGGCACTTTGACAATTTCGGCATGTATTAATTGATTTAATCCTCACAACAACCCTATCAGCGTATTATCCCCATTTAAGATGAGGAAACAGAGGCATTGAGAAGTGTGAGTAAATGGTGAGATGGGACGTGAACCCAGGCAGTCCAGCTCCCGAGCCTGTGCCCTCACCATCTGGCAATACCACACCTCCTCACCTCACCACAGGACTCCACGACTCTGGGTAAGTCCTCTAATCTATTTCAACTCAGTGTCCTCACCCAAACATTGGGAATGCCAATGCCCTCTGTGCCCACCTCCCAGCAGCACTGGGAGGGTCACCAGAGATAAGGTCTGAGGAAGCAATCAGTAGCCAAGTCATAATGAGGAGACCTTGCGTGCTGTCGAAAGGCTTTACCACCCCACTCCTCTCTGAAGCAGCAGGGCTCTCAGTGCTTTCAGGAGCACGTGTGGGCTGCTGAGAACAGAGTCACTGCAAAACTTGAAATGTCTTGAAATGCCTCTCAGGCAGGAGCTATCAGGCTGGCACATCTCAACACAAAGCCAGACCTCAAGAGGTGCCTGCGGCCACAGCTACAAGTCCCCTGCTCACCACAGGGACCCCCCCCTCTCAGCACGGTCAGGACTAGCCTGGCAACAGCCTCTCAGCTCCTTCACTCACCCAGGCTACTACCGGGAGACAGTTCTCAGAGCAGCAGAGTCTCCAGCTAAGACACATCCTGATGGTGGGTGTCTGCAGTAGACCCTGTTGGGTATCTACCTGAGTCTTCACCCCAATCTCCTCTATTAAAAGAACCCAGGATCACGCCTGTAATCGTAGCATTTTGGGAGGCTGAGGCTGGTGGATCACGAGGTCAGGAGTTCGAGACCAGCCTGGCCAACATAGTGAAACCCCATCTTTACTAAAAATACAAAAGCTAGCCAGGCATGGTGGCACATGCCTTTAGTCTCAGCTACTCGGGAGGCTGAGTCAGGAAAACCGCTTGAACTCGGGAGGCAGAGGTTGTAGTGAGCTGAGATCACACCACTGCACTCCAGCCTAGGCAACAGAGTGAGACTCTGTCTCAAAAAAAAAAAAAATGTGTTCACTTGATCCCTTGGGTCATGCTCCGTTCGGAGGTGTAGCCCCTCCCTGGCCCCAGCAGAGAATCTGGATTGAGTTCAGCCAGGGCTGGCTCTGAGCTCTCAGCCCCTTGCCACATGACTGGTTTAGGCAGGGACACGTGACCTGCTTCAGCCAATGAGGCAAGAGGAGGTTGTTGGAGGGAGGCCGACACTTCTAGAAAAGGTTTTCTTGCTCTTAAATTATATAAGGAGACTTAGCACCCTATTCCTGCCTCTAGCGACCACTGAATGAAGATGTAAAGCTTGGAACCACCACAGTCATCTTGGAATTGTGATGGAAAGCCCAGAGAATCATGAGTTAGTCCAGGGACCTGAATTTGTTGATCCACTGAGCTAACCCACCCATCTCCAGGCTTCTTGTAGGAGAGAGAACAAATTCCTTATGTTTAAGCCACGGTTAGTTGGGGAAAACATTCTCCCTCATATAATGTTGGAGGTTCCCCTAATCCTCAATGACAGCAGGGCTCAGAAAGACCGAGCCTGTGGATCCCTGAGATCAGGCTGACTTGGAGTAGCTAACTTTATGATCTATCTGGGTTGTCCAAAGTGAGCAAATGGAGTAAGTGTCTCCAGAACGTTCACAAATGTCCCTCTACCAGACCCAGTCCCAGGATGGCAGGGATCTTATAAAAAGATATACAAGACGGGGTCTTTGCCTTCCAAGTGCTCACCACATAGTTGGAGAGTTAAGGTGTGCAGACAAATAACTACAAGGGGCATGGTGTACTTGCCTTGTTAGCAATACAAGTATTAAGGGGTGACTTTTGGCAAAGGTGGTAAGAACAGGCTTTCTGGAAGAGACAAGACTTTTTCAAAGGACTGGCATTTAAACTGAGTCTTTATCAACGAATAAGAATGCAAAAACAGGCTGGGTGCGGTGGCTCATGCCTGTAATCCCAGCACTTTGGGAGGCCGAGGTGGGTGGATCACAAGGTCAGGAAATCGAGACCATCCTGGCCAACATGGTGAAACCCCGTCTCTACTAAATATATAAAAATTAGCCGGGTGTGGTGGCACATGCCTGTAATCCCAGCTACTCGGGAGGCTGAGGCAGGAGAATCGCTTGAACTCGGGAGGCAGAGGTTGCAGTGAACCAAGATTGCGCCACTGCACTCCAGCCTAGACAACAGAGTGAGACTCTGTCTCAAAAAAAAAAAAAAAAAAAAAAAAAAAGAAAAGAAAGAAAAAGAAAAGAAAAAAAGAATGCAAAAACAAAATTCTATCTTAGTTAATAAAAACAAATACATACTGAGAACCTAGTAGATGCCATGTGACCTCATCCAGGCCTGAGGTTTTAAATATCACCTTACCCTGAAAACTCTTAAATTTGTATTTTAAGTCTAGACCTCTTCTGTGAACACCAGATGCCCATGACATCTCTACCTGTTCAAGAGAACCATTGACGACCCCACTCCAAATATGTCCTTCCCAGTCTTCCCTATGACAGGAAGTACCACCATCCCCCACCATAAAACTCATCCCAAAAAGCTATGATGCAGCCTTGGCCCTGCCCTTTCCCTCCTCTCCACATCCAGTCCTACAGAAACTCAATCTTACTTCCAAAACACACCTTGACTCCACTGCCTCTCTCCATCTCTGTTGCCACCAGTGTAGCCTGAGCCCCTGTCATCTCTCAACCTGGAGTCCTGGCCCAGGCTCCTAAATGATCGCCACCACTCATCTCACCCCACTCGAGAGAGATACTTAAAAAGAACAAGTCTGGGCCTCTCCCCCTCCTGCTCAGAGCCTATCAAGGGCTTTGTTTTGTGCTGAGAATTAATTGGAACATCTTCCCATGGCTTTTAAGACCCTGCGTAATGATCTTCCTGCCCACGACTCCTCCAACTTCTCATCCCACCATCCTCCTCACCACACTCTGGGCCATACCAAATGCTTTCTTTCCCCTTGGCTTGAGTGTGCCTAGAATGTGTCCTTCAAGCTCCTCCTGGAACTGGTACCTTTCCTGTCCTTTGGGCCTCAGCTGAAATGTCACTTCCTCAAGTCAGGTCTTCTCTGAGTGCTGTCCTGTCCCCCCTCCTCACAGCACCCTACTTGTTTCGTCCAGGGCACTGACAACCTGCAATTATTCCATTCACCTGTTGGTCCACTTGTTTACTGTCTGTCTCCCTCAAGCAAAGTGTAAATTATGCAGAAGGCCTGTCTGCCTGTTCATCATGGGATCCTCAGCTCGTACCCATGGTCCCACAAAAACAAATGTTTGTCAAATGAACAAACTTCAGGAGCTGTGGGTAGGCACTTTACATGCACTATCAATAAAGCGGAAATTATCCTTACCATCCCTATTTTACAAAAGAGGAAAATTGTCTCTCTTCCTTAGAGATGATGGACTTCAAGGCTGTAGAAGCCAAGAGCAGTTGGTGGCCATCTTTGCCACCAAGCTTGCTGGAGAAAGATGTCAACTTGGAGGAAAGTGGAGCCAAGAGATGGGGATGGATGGCCTCTTTGATGACATCATTTGAGAATCTGGATCTAGCCATTCCCAAAGCTGCCTATCACAAAGCAGCTTACAGGGTAAGCAGCTTACCCTGAGGCTCAAAGAGGTGATGAGGACCACCCAAGGTCACACTGTAAGGAAGAAGAGGCACTGGAGCCCAGGGCTTTCTGACTGCACAGGCAGAACCCTGTCCCTGGTGGTGAGCAGGGGCCTCAGCTGGAGCCCAAGGCCATCCCCCACGTGGATTCAGGCAAGTCTAAGTGGGTCTGGCAAATTAATAGGCTGTGAAGACAGCAGCCAATTCCGGGAGGCTGGAAAAGCCCCCTGGAAGGGAGCCCACCTTGAGCCAGGAGGAATGAGCTCGCCCCCGTAAGCCTCTGTTGTGCAAGCAGAGGTGGGTCTGAGTACCCGGTGGAGGTGCTCCCAATATGTCTCCTGGCCCAGACTCCATAAGACTCTTGTCTAGGTGAAATGGAGAAATGAGCTACAAATAGTGACCACAAAAAAGCTGCTTTAGCCTGGCCAACACGGCAAAACCCCGTCTCTACTAAAAATACAAAAATTAGCCACGCATGGTGACATGCACCTGTAGTGCCAGCTACTTGGGAGGCTGAGACAAGAGAATCACTTGAACCCAGGAGGCAGAGGTTGCAGTGAGCCAATATCACACCACTGCACTCCAGCCTGGGTGACAGAGCGAGACTCTGTCTCCAAAAAAAAAAAAAAAAAAAGTCTGCAGACAATGAGATGAGCACCCCTGCTTGAGTGCCACCTGAGTAGTGAAGGGCTATCTCAGCTTGGTGTCTTAGAGGAGCCATGTGATGGGAGACAGTGCCAGGCAGAACACAGCAGTACTGCCAGATTTAAGAGATAGTCCCTAAGGATTCCCAGAGGTCCTGTGGGAGAACTTGGGGAAGGCCTGGAATCTAGTGTGAGTGGGTCAGAGCTAAAGCTACAGAAGTCTGAGTTATTATGGTTAATGTGCCCCTGTTTCCTCCAGACTGATAAGGCTTGAAGGGGAGCTAGGGAGATATCACCCCCTTTCCCTCCTTCCATCCAGGCACTATTTCTCCTTGTCTTTCTCTTCTTATCCAATATAGTCCCAATTCTTCCCCTCCCCCCACACATAGCCCACCAGCCTAGACTCTCAGACCCTACTTGGTAGGGGTCCATAGGCCACCTCTAGCCCTGCCTTCTGCATTTAGGAAGAGGCAGGGCCTGGAGGGGTCCCCTACCTCAGTGGCAGTGACAGGAGCTTGGCTGATGCCTCTGTTGACTGAGTTCCATGACCGCGCTGTCAGCATGCAGGCAAACAAGGGGTAGAGATCCCCGGCTCCCAGGCGCTGGCTGTACTCCTTCACTCTCTTCATGTCAGTCCAGATCAGAGACTGCCAGAGGTGGCAGTAATTCAGGCGGAATTCTTCCGTGAGCACCTAGGGTGGAGGCGGCAATGGTGGGACCTGAGCCTCGTCTCCCCACGAAGGCCCAAGTCCCTAGCTGATGCCAACCATTATAAAAGATGATGGTAAGGACTGCACCTTCCCACGGCATCTGCTTCTCCCACAGAGCTCTGCCATCCCTGAAGGTTTAAGTTCAAAGCGACTCTTTAGCAAGCCTTGACCCTGAGTGGCAGTGACTATTAACTGCCCACCCAAGTCTACATTCTCCTTCTCTTCCCAGGTACAGGCTACTTTCTCAGCCTCCCTCAAAGTTAGATGTGGTCCTCAGCATGAGCCCAACTGAAGGAATGTGGCAAAAGCTCCACTTCCAGGCCCAGCCCACGGAAACTTCCCCCGCCCGTTCCTCCAAGCCCTCACCCCGCCACCAGCTGCCAGCACCATCACCTCTGGTGAAGCTTGGGGGTCAGAGCCTGGCAGTCTTCTCCACCCATCCAGGACTGGCATGTGAGCAAGCAATTAAGTTTCTGTTGTATCTGGGCCATCATTCATTTTGGGGCCACATGTGAAAACAGCTAGCCTACCCTAAACTAATGCATTCTACTTCGTTAAGCCTTTCAGAAGAGGCCAAGATTTGGGGATGTGGGATCAGGTCCCTGAGAGAAGGAGCAGAATCCCCTGGGGAAAACCACCCTGGGACCATCTGCCTCATGGGACCAAGCCAGGCCCTGGGGCCCAGATTGGCAGTGAACTTCCCATCTTCCAAGTAGGAGCTCATGGCTCCTTTGAACCAGATCTGTATCCTGAGGACACAGTCTGAGGCCCTCCAGCCCCCACTGGCTGCCTGCCCCCTTTCCCACTAGGTAGTACGTCCTCACTAGGCCTAAACATGAACTCCTTCCCCATGAAGCCCCAGCTCATGCAGAGGACAGCTCACTGCTGAGGATCCTTGCTGGCCTGGGGCTCCATGGGAAAGTACAATCTAACATACAAGCCTATTTCCACCTACTCCTCACAACGGCCTGTAAAGGGGGTGCCATCAACCTCACCTTCATGAGGAGGAAGCTGAAGCTCTGAGAGCTCTGTGACAGTGACTTGCACAAAATGACAGCTCCAAGGGAGAGAGCAGGGCCCTTTCCAGCTACTCTTGCTATCTCCCTCCCAGTTCTGCAGCTAATTAGAGTGGTCGGCAGACTCTAAACCCAGAGGTCCCGGGGCTGGGTAACAAAGGCCTCTTCTACCTGGTAAAGCCCATGGTCCAACAGGACAATCTCCGCCTTTCCCGTGCCAGGGTGCTTCCGCACCAGTACATTGCCGGGGTGGGGATCGCAGTGCACGAAGCCATTGACGAAAATCATCTCACTATACATCTTGCCCAGGTGGCGTGAGATCTGAAAGAGAAGCGGGGGCAGGTGGGAGCTCCTCTCCACTCACATCTGTCTCAGGGACTTCTATCTGGTCTCTCGAAGTGGTCATTAAGGGGAGGCCAGAGAAAATCGGCGGGTTGGAGCGGTTGTGGTGGGAGTGATGGCCTGAGATGACATACTTTTTTGAGTTTAAGACTTCTTACCTTTAGCTGCACCTTAGAATCATGAAACCATGTGGGTGGTACAAGGCACCAGTATTTTTTAAAGTTCGAGGTGATGTGAACACATGATTAGGTAGGAGAACTACACTCTCCACCTCCCGCACCCGCCCTTCCACTTGTCCCCCATTTCTCTCTTCTGTACCCTTTTTTCAGCCCTTCTCCATTTTCTCCCCAAAGCTGAGAATGGGCTGAAAAGCTGGGCTGGGGGAGTCATTCCACTCACCCCTTCTCCAAAGAACAGGGCGGGGGGCTGAGGATCAGGAGCAGGTCACCCCACTGCCTCCTCTGGGGCTGCCCCACCTGCTCCAGGCCTGTGCCAGGTGGACCCAGAGTCACAGGCCCATCTCCCCTCTCCCTGCTCCCCTCCCTGCCAGAGCCCAGTGCTAATCTGATTTATGATGTCTGCACAGAAGAAATGACACTAGAGAAGCCGTTTAAATCATCCTGTCACTGCTGCTCTCCCTGACGAGGCAGTCTTCTTATCTCTAGTCCCTTTTTTATTAAAGCTAAAAGCCTCTTCCCAGCTAAGGAACAGCTGCTGAATAAAGCCAGACCTGGACCCACAGAGGGTCTGTTGACAGGTTTCCAGGGGACAAAGAGATGCTCGACCCAGAAAGCTGACACCCCAGGACACAAGCTGCCCTAGGCAACCCTCTTGGCCTCAGCTGGACCCCATGGTCATTAACAAACCTAACCTGGTCAGAGGGGAGAGGAGCTGGGGCCCACGGGTGGGGAACACAGGATTGGGATCTTAAAAATGCTCCTCTGTCCCCCAGCCTGCAAAGTCCTACCTGACCAGGCCCTGCCTCCTGCCTGGTCTTATCTCATACCACACTGACATTCCAGCCACATTCACTCTTTCTCTTCCCCAATGATCCCTGTACTTTCTGGCCTCAGGGCCTTTGCACATGCTATTCCTGCTGCCAGGAACATTCCTGCCATCTCCCCTTCACTTGACTTACCCCCTCTCTTCCTTTCCATCCCAGGTCAGCATCGCCTCTCTGAGGAAGCCCTCCCTGACGTCCCAGGCAACATGAGGTTCTCTCGCCATATGTTCTCAAAGGCCTTTTCTTTCAGGGCACTAGCTCACTATTTGTGTGACTATTTGATTAATGACCATCTATCCCACTATCATAAACTCCCAAGATAGCAGGCACTTGCTCTGCTTGTTAAACAGCTTTATTGAGGTATAATTTATGGACCATAGACTGGCTCTATTATGTATCCACTTGCTTATAACAGTGGCAAACACGTGACTATGACTCTGCGTTCAACGTAAGTGAGACCCTCATCTCTGCTTTCCTAAGATGCTGTTGTTTCTGCCTCGATGCTTATTCTAACCCCATTAATATCCTCTGAATCCCAATCAATTATAATTTGCCCACTGCATCATTCTTGATGACCCTACTTTAGTAACAACCAGCTGACATCCTTATTAGCCCCCCAAAGGTAGGGACAATTATGATCTTCATTTTGCAGATGAGAAACTGATTCATCAAGGTTTAACTTACTCATGGCTAGAGAAGGGTCGAGCCAAGATTTACACCAGCTGACCCCGCAGCCTTCTTGTAACTGCTATTCTACGCTGGCTTGCACCCACTGCTGCACTTTTCAGTTGAGCTTTGTGACCTTAAACAAGTTGCTTATACCCTCAGCTTCAGTCACATGGAAATAATAATAGTCCCACTCTCAGGGGTCACTGTGAAGGTAAATGAGAATGCCACGGTGCCGTGCCCTGGTGACTCTCATAGGTCACCCTGTGCTTGTCGTTACTGATTTCTCATAACACCCCTGGAAGGTGAGCAGACTAGCTTCCATTGTACGTTTTTAAGAGGTGAAGATGTGTAAGACACAGTGCCCGCTACCACGCCAGCCCTCCAGCTCCTGCCATTTTCCTGGGGTGAAACAGACTTCACAGTACTCAGTGTCTGTCGGCATCAGAAGCAGGACTTTGCCCCAGGTCAAGTTCTCAGACTCAGGCTGACATGCCAGCTGCCCCAGGGCCACCACTGTCTGCTTCCTTGGAGAGGGGCCCCAGGCCAGGGCTGGTCCTGGGTGGGCCAGCAAGTCTCAATGCCACCAAGAATCTCTTCTGTGGGGCTCTTCGGAGCTTCGTGGAGCCATGCTCTGAAAGGCTGTATCTGCCAAACCAATTGCATTTATTAAGTAATCATTCATTTTTATTTGTCAAGGACACAAATAAGGTCCAATCAGGGCTCCTGATCAGCCCAAGATAAGCAGCGCAGCCAGACTGAGCTGACAGAATCCCAGCCAAAAAAAGGAGAGAAACGACATTTCATTTAGTCTGGGCAGACCTGTCATGGGGAGATGTATGATCTCCCTTAAGCTTTCTGAAATATTGCTAATCGCTCTGGGCCCCCTATTAACTATATTGAAAGATGACCCCTAGCGGTCTGGGGGCTCAGGATGGGGAGCCCTTGCCCCTGAAAAGTGAGCTGCTGCTGGTGGGGTTGGGGAGGTTGGGGGCCACCAACTACTGCTCTATGAGAAGAGTCCACATGAGAAGAGTCACCAGAGTGGCCCACTCCATCTCAACATCTCCAATCCACCTGCCTCCAGCTCATTGTGTCTTGCCATTTGGGGCTGTTCCTAACGTTGGTTTTAACCAGATTTCACCAGCATAGACAGAGACCAGAGGGGGTGTCCCTGCTAATGGCATGGTTCTGTCACTGGGCATGGGAGACCTGGGGATAAGGCACCTCTCTTCTCAGTCTGGTTCCAAGTTCCCTTAGCAACTACATGGGACTAACCCCACCTGCTCTACTTGCTCACAGAGCAACCTTAAGATTCAATGTCAAAATAGGATCACATATGAGAAAGCACTTTACACACTATAAGACAACACACCAAAGTTTGTTTTTCATGCAGTAGTTTATCATTTTTAACTTAGAAAAAATACATACCCACTATCACTCTCAAAGCCTAATTTTGAAAGTTTAAAGTACAGCTCATATAAATACAGAATGTGTGCCAGGCACAGTGGCCCACACCTATAATCCCAGCACTTTGGGAGGCTCAGGAGGGATGACTGCTTGAAGACAGGAGTTTCAGACCAGCCTGGGCAACACAGCAAGACCTCATCTCTACATAAAATTAAAAATTCAGCCAGGTGTGGTGGAACATGCATATGGTTCTATCTACTAGGGAGGCTAAGGCAGAAGGATCACTTTAGCCCAGGAGTTCGACACTGCAGTGAGCTATGACAGCACCACTGTACTCCAACCTGGGAGATAGAGCGAGACCTTGTCTCTAAATACATAAATAAAAAACAAAACTAAATAAATACAGAATGAACATGTGTCAAAGATTTTTTTAACTCATTAATAAGGGGGCAAGTCCACATAGCCAATGTAAGACTAAGCAAAAAGAACAAATCTGGAGGCATCACATTACCCAACTTCAAACTATACTTCAGAGCTATAGTTAGCAAAACAGCATGGTACTGGTATAAAATAAGGACATAGACCAATGGAACAGAATAGAGAACCAAGAAATGAAGCCAAATTCTTATAGCCAACTGATCTTCAACAAAGCAAAAAAAACAAAGTGGGAAAAGGACACCCTATTCAACAAATGGTGCTGGGATAATTGGCTAGCCACATGTAGAAGAATGAAATTGGATTCTCACTTCTCACCTTATAAAAAATCAACTCAAAATGGATCAAAGACTTAAATCTAAGACCTGAAACCATAAAAAATCTAGAAGATAACATCAGAAAAACTCTTCTAGATATTGGCTTAAGCAAAGATTTCATGACCAAGAACCCAAAAACAAATGCAACAAAAACAAAGATAAGTAGACGGGACTTAATTAAACTAAAAAGCTTCTGCACAGCAAAAGAAATAATCAGCAGGGTAAACAGACAATCCACAGAGTGGAAAGAATCCATAGAGTGGGAGAAAATATTCACAGCTATGCATCGAACAAAAGATTAATATCCAGAATCTACAAGGAACTCAAACAAATCAGCAAGAAAAGAACAAACAATCCCATCAAAAAGTGGGCTAAGGACATGAATAGACAATTCTCAAAAGAAGATATACAAATGGCCAACAAACATATGAAAAAAATGCTCAACATCACTAATGATCAGGGAAACGCAAATCAAAACCACAATGCAATACCACCTTACTCCTGCAAGAATGGCCATAATCAAAAAATCAAAAATAATAGATGTTGGCATGGATGTGGTGAAAAGGGAACACTTTTACACTGCTGGTGGGAATGTAAACTAGCACAACAACTATGGGAAACAGTGTGGAGATTCCTTAAAGAACGAAACGTCAAACTACCATTTGATCCAGCAATTCCACTAGTGGGTGTCTATCCAGAGGAAAAGAAATCATTATATGAAAAAGACACTTACACACGCATGTTTATAGCAGCACAATTCACAATTGCAAAAATATGGAACCAGCCTAAATGCCCATCAACAGGTAGATAAAGAAAACATGGTGTATATACACCATGGAATACCACTCAGCCACAAAAAGGAACGAAATAATGGCATTTGCAGCAACGTAGATGGAACTGGAGACCATTATTCTAAGTGAAGTAACTTAGGACTGGAAAAACAAATATCGTATGTTTCTACTTGTAAGTGGGAGCTAATCTATGAGAATGCAAAGGCATAAGAATGATACAATGAACTTCGGGGACTTGGGGAGAAGGGTGGGAGGAAGGTGAGGGATAAAAGACTACACATTGGGGCCTGGTGCGGTGGCTCATGCCTGTAATCCCAGCATTTTGGGAGGCCGAGGAGAATTGTTTGAACCAAGGAG